TCTCATCCTTCCCTCAATTTTCATTACCATGCAATGTATTTTTTCCTCTGATTGTAATATTTATCTGATTCCCTTTTTACTAATGAATCTATGTCCAATGCCTTTTCACATAGTGAATCAAGGCCAGAATAAGTGGTTGCTCATTTTCTCCTGGGTCCATGGTCAATTTACCTAAATCTATGTCCTTTGGTTATCAACACTCCAATCAAAAAACAGATAATTACTCCCTATTCATTCTGCCAATTGCCTTTATAATGATATGATTATATTAATGGTGAAATTTCAGCAAGCTCCCTTTTGCAGCAGATATAAACTGTTATCGTTGGGAATTGAGCAAGAAATGGTGAAGGAAGGGTCATCACCTCAGGATCTTGGCCATTTTAGAAGTTGGGAACTATGGAACAAAAGGGAGCAATTGCATTGCTTAGTGTAGTCTGTAGACCACTGCCTTTCGGGAAAGATGAAGAGGAACAAAATTTTCAAGGATAATTGCAACAATGATAGAATAGTTACAATGGATGCCTTTAGAATTAGAGTTGGAATTAAGTTTAATTGTCACGTGTACACAAGTTCAGGGATACAGGAGTACAGTGAAAAGTTTACAATGTCACCATCTTAGGTACAAGGTACCTCGGTACAAAATCTCAGGCAAAAAGTAGAAAAATAAGGAAATAAGCTAAAAGTTCAACATTACAGTTCTTGTCAGTATAAAGTAGTAAATTAGAAATAAAGTTAAAAGTTCCAAATTACAGTCCTCCTTTAGCTATAGGCCTGCAGTCAGTTCACGTTGGGCTTGATCTCTCTCCCATGCCAGGCTCAATCTCTCAATTCCCACATCTTCACGCTCCTGTCTCGCCATTGACTGCCATCCTCTCTCTCCCGCACTGGGCTCAATCTCTCAAGCTCTGCACCTCCACGCTGCCGTCTCGCTACCTACTGCCATCTGGTCCTCCAGCCGTTTCTTTGATGCCGCCGACTGCCACGTGGCTAAACTCCAAAGTCCCCGCTCTGGGCTCCCAGCTGCTGCCGATGCCGCCTCTGCTTCCATTTCCGAGCTTCCTGCAGAATGTAATTAGAGAGAAAGGACTTAAAAGCGAGAAAAGAAGAAGAAAGTAGTCAGAGCAGACAAACTCTAGCTCAGGAACCCTACTCTGCCATCATCTTGAAAGCACTTTAGCCTGGAACAAAAGTAGTGAAAGGGCAAACAGGGTCAAGAGTTCCTAGAACGTTCCAGTAGAATTTCTGCAGAAATATGTAGAATTCCAGGCCAATGAGAAGGGAGGCTTTGCTGGAATGGGTTATTTGGAATTAAGTGGGCCAAGTTGATCAAGGGACATTTAGGGGACAGTGATCATTGTCTCGTTTGATTTATTTTGGCTATGGAAAAGGAAAAGGACCAGCTCAGAGAAATTGGATTCAAATGCTGTCAGTCAAAACCATACCTGAACATTGGAGTACCTTTAAACAAAAGATAGATAGGGCACAGTCAAGATTTCTTCCCATAAGATAGGGCAAACAATCTAGAGACCCATAAATGATAAAAGTGACAGACATTAAGATAAATAAGGAAAGGTGTGCTTATGGCAAATATCATATAGATAAGTCAATCAAGAGCCAGGTTGAATATGGTAAGTTCAGAGGGAAATTGAAAAGACAAAGAGAAACAGGGAGAGATTACAAGAAGAAAGTGGCAACTAACATGAAAGGGAATTCAAAAGTCTTCCATAAATTTCTAAAGAGTAAAAGAATGGTAAAAGCAGGTGTGGGTCTGATTAGGGACACTCAAGGGGATTTAGCATGGAAGCAAGAGACATAGCTTAGGTAATAAATTAATATTTGGTTCTGTCTTTACCAAGGAAGATGATGTTCTGTTGGTTATAATGAAAGAAGCAATTTAAGTGTATGGAGTGTTTAAAATAAATAAGGATGATATATTGGATAGACTCTACGTTAAGTTGATAAGGAACTAGGGCAGGGTGAATTTTTTTTATTTATTCATTCGTGGGACATGAGCATCGCTGGCTGGGTCAGGATTATTTGCCTGTCCCTAATTGCCCTAGAGAAGGTGGTGGTGAGCTGCCTTCTTGAACTGCTGCACTCCATGTGTTATGGGTTGACCCACAATGCCATTAGGGAGGAAATTCCAGGATTTTGACCAGCAACAGTGAAGGAATGGTGATATATTTCCCAGTGAGGATGGTGAGTGGCTTGGAAGGGAACTTGAAATTGGTGTGTTCCCATATATCTGCTGCCCTTATCCTTCTAGATGGAAGTTGTCATGGATTTGGAAGGTACTGTATAAGGATCTTTAGTGCATTTCTGCAGTGAGTCTTGTAGATAGTGTTGAGCTTTGGTGGTGGAGAGAATAGATGCTGGTGAATGTGGTGCCAATCAAGCAGCTACTTTGTCCTGGATGGTGTCAAGCTTCTTGATTGTTGTTGGAGCTGCACTCATCCAGGCAAACAGCAACTATTCCGTTATAACCTTGGTTTGTGCCTTGTAGATGATGGACAGGCCGATAGGAGTCAGAAACTGAGTTACTTGCTGCAGTATTCCTAGCCTCTGAACTGCTCTTGTACCCATTGCGTTTATGTGGCAAGTCCAGTTGAGTTTCTGGTCAATGGTAACCCCAAAGATGTTGATTGTGGGGGATTCAGTGATGGTAACATCATTGAATATCAAAGGGTAGTGGTTGGATTATATCCAAGAAGATTGAGGGAAGTGAGGGTAGAAATTTCAGAGGCACTAGTCATAAGCAGATTCTTCTTTGAATGTGGATGTGGTAATAAAGAACTGGGAAACTGTGAATTGTTCAAGGAAGTGTGGAAAGATAAGCCTGCAACTATGGGCAGCTAATTTATCCTCAATGGTGGGGGAAGCTTTTGGAAATGATAACCTGTGACAATATTAATTGTCACTCAGGCAAATGTGGGTTAACTAAGGAGAGGCAGTTAAACTTAATTAACTTGTGTAAGTTTCTGGATGAGGTGCCAAATAATGTTGATGAGGGTAATACTGTTGATGCGGTGTACATGGAATGACAAGCGGTATTTGATAGAGTGCCATACAACAAACCTGACAAGGAATAAAGAGTAATGGTTTATGGATTTTTTTTCAGACTGGAGGGAAGTTTATTCTGGAGTTCCTCTTTGACTGGTATCCTTGATTTTTTTTATCTATACTAAATACCTTGGTGTCCATGGCACAATTTCAAAATTTTCAGACAGTCCAAAGCTTGGCAATATTGTGAAGACTGTGAAGATGATAGTATGGAATTTCAAAAGGACAGACAGATTGATGGAATGGGTGGACAAATGGAAGATACAAATTAATGTTGAGAAGGGATTCATTTATAATAGGAAGAATGTGGAGAAAAATGTAAAACAAAGGGCACAATACTAACTAGGGAGCAGGAGCAAAGGAACATTGTTGTATATGTGCGTAATACAGTGAAGTTGGCAAGAAGGTTGAGAGAATGTTTAATAAAGCTTACATGACATCCTGTGGTTTATCAACAGGACTACAGAGTACAAAAGGAAGGAAATTATGATAAACCTGTAAAAGATCAAGGTTAGGCCTCACACGGAGCACTGTATTCAATTCTCGGCACCACACTTTCAGCAAGATGTGAAGGCATTAGAGTGTGGAAAGAATTCACAAGAACAATAAGGAGTCTGGACAAAGTAGCTGGGCAGAGACTGTTGTTGGTGGAAGGACTGAGAAATAGAGGGCACAGAATTAGAGGAATTGGCAAATTGTGACAGAAGGAAAAACTTTTCCACACAGCGTATAGTTTAGGTCTGGAATGTACTGTATGAGATTAGTTTGGCCAATTTTGGAATACTGCATTCAACTCTGGTCTCCCTGCTATAGGAAATATGTCGTGAAACTTGAAAGGTTCAGATAGATTTACAAGGATGTTGCCAGGGTTGGAGGGTTTGAGTATAGGGAGAGAATGAATAGGTTGGGGCTATTTTCCCTGGAGTGTCAGAGGCTGAGGGGTGACCTTATTGAGGTTTATAAAACCATGAGGGGCATGGATAGACTGAATAGTCAAAATCTTTTCCCCAGAGTGGAGAAGTCCATAACTAGAAGGCATAGGTTTACGGTAAGATGGAAAAGATTTAAAAGGGACCTAAGGGACAACTTTTTCACACAGAGGGTGGTGCATGTATGGAATGAGCTGCCAGAGGAAGTGGTGGAGGCTGGTACAATTACAACATTTAAAAGGCATCTGGATGGGTATATGAATACGAAGGATTTGGAGGAATATGGGCCAAATGCGGGCAAATGGGACTAGATTAATTTAGGATATCTGGTCAGCATGGACAAGTTGGACCAAAAGTTCTGTTTCCGTGCTGTGCTTCTCTATGACTCTATGAGATGGAAGCGTGTTGATTTGAGATTTTCAAGAAAGAAATGGATCAATATCTGAAAAAGAAGTGTATTTAGGGTTCTGGGGAAACAGTGGGTGGGAATGGCACTTGCTGAATTCCCCCCTCAGTAAATCAGCACAGACAGGCAGGCTGAATGGTCTGCTGTCCTGTAACAATCCTCCGATTCCAAATTTAATTTAAAATAGTTGCTAGGTTATTCAAAATTATGAAAATGGTTCTCCACCTCCCTGCTCCCTAGGAGATATTAAAACGCAATTCCTTGATCCGCAACTTAAATGTTGGAGATGGGAACCAGGAATATTATTCTACATCCTCTTAGACACTTACTATGAACTAAATGAAGTGTCATGACTGAGCTATCTGAATTCATTAGGGGGAAAGTAAAGTGATGTCTGATATACAATGATTTGCAAATCAATGAATAAAGAACGGCCAGGATTGACGTGTGGATGTTGACGAGGCAATATTTTGTATGTTTCCAAAAGACTATGATTTTTGCATAGCACCAGTGTGGTGTGTGTGTGTATTCAGTCCAGGAGGGGGCGGGACACGGTAGTGGCTCTCCCCTGAACGTCATTTGCACTATGGCTATATAAATAGCAGGGCTGTGCTACTGTGTAATTTCTGGACTAAGGAGGAATGAATGGGTTGAAGATCAGTGGCTGAGTGGAGCACGGTTTTCCCCTTTTGCGTTATTCAGAGCTGCTGGAAGACAATGGCCCTGTCGTTCTGTGGAAATGACACCACTGAAGCTTACAACGTCGACGGGGGCGTCTTAAACAACGGCTGCTTCGTGGATGCTCTCAATCTAGTGCCCCATGTCTTCCTGCTCTTCATCACTTTCCCCATATTATTTATCGGTGAGTACACGAACGTTGTTAACGCAGCGCAGTCGCCCGGCGTGGCCACAGAACTGGAATCCAGAAGAATCCACCCGCAGCACAGCAGGTTTGACAGGTCGGCTGCAATCTCTTGCCACTTTGCTTTGGGCTGCATTGAGTGCTTTGTAACCTGGCTTTCGCTGTGTGATCTCTTAAAGACAGTGTCCCTAGCTGCCTAGGAAGCCTGGAGAGCCTCCATCCGGAATTGTATCTTTTTTTAATTTCAAAAATATTCTTTATTCACAAAAAGAAGCCTTAGTGTATATACATAGTTACAAACGCAGTTCTATTCTGTACTGTAGCATATAAAGGTAACAAATAAACATTGCAGTTTGACTCTATCCAGAAAAAACAAAGACCTCTCTTACACATACAAAACTATATTTGCATACATTCGTCCAGCAGGTTCACCAATACCTTTCAGGGTCACAATTCCCTGACACCCAAGTATTTACCAATCCAGGCTCTTCTTGTTACATCAGGCTGTGCAATATATACAATGCTGTCCATCTCAACCATAAGCTTTAAATTTAAAAAGGCTGTGTGGTCTATGCATGCTTGCAGAGAGAAAAAAAAACAGATTTGATTAAATGAGTGCTGTTTATATTTTTTGGGTCTTTTAGCTATTCCAGTCACATTCACACTTCTGAGCTGCCTTAAGAGGTCAAAGTTTCAAGTTCCACTTCAGAGAAGTCATTAACAAAAAATCTAAACAAATTCTCCAGAACGGTGCTGAGGGAGTGCTGCATGGTTCCTGCTTTGAGAGCCATGGCCCTGTCTAACCTGTCAGCTGGTTGTAAAAGAAGCACGGGGCACAGTTTTGCAGAAGAGTTGGGGGCTTAGAGGGAGGAGGATTGCAGGGATCCTGCCTGGCGTCCTGGCTGAAATCTACACCTGAACCAACATGAGTAGAAAAGCATATTGTATGACCCATTATCACACTGCTGTTGGTGGGTGCTTTTTGTACAGAAATGGCTACCCCTTTCCTACATTGCAGAAAGGGCTCCTCATTATTGGGTGTTAAGCATTGAGGTCATGAAAGAGGTTATGTAAATATAGGATTTTTTTTTTCCCCCAAAGCCCTCACTTTTTAGTATGCTTTTTAGTATAATCATGTTTAAAAAAGTGATTAGGTATGATATTTTCATGTAAAATTTACTTTGTAGGAAATGTTACTTTTTTTTGTTTCTGTGACTTATATGCTAGAACTTTTCAAGTACAGTCATTGGATAATGATACATACAGAATTTTAAAGCATTTTGACTAAAACCTTGAACTGCTTCTAGAATAAGTATGCATAAAATGTGACCTGATAACTGGATCATTGAGTCATACAGCATGGAAACTGACCCTTTGGACCAAGCAGTCCATGCCAACCATAATCCCAAACCAAACTAATCTGACCTGCCTGCTCCTGGCTCATATCCCTGCAAACCTTTCCTATTCATGTACTTATCCAAATGCTATTTAAACATTGTAACTGTACCCACATCCACCACTTCCTCAGGAAGTTCATTTCACATGTGAACCACCCTCTGTGTAAAAACTTTGCCCCTCATGTCTTTTTTAAATCACTTTCCTTTCACCTTAAAAATATGCCCCCTAGTCTTGAAATCCTCCATCCTAGGGAAAAGACAACTACCGTTAACTCTATCTATATCCCTCATTATTTTATAAATTCTATAAGGTCGCCTATCAACCTCCTGCGCTCCAGTGAAAAAAGTCCCAGCCTATCCAGGCTTTCTTTGTAACTCAAACCTTCCATACCTGGCAACATCTACATAGTAGATGTCCAGCTGGTCTCTTTTAATACTCCATTAAAAGAAAAACAAACATGTTCTACTGTGTAAGTCACTTAAGCAACTACGAGAATGGTTTTGATAACCAACATTGTTCAACTCCTTTCCTGAATTTAGATCATGTATAAAATTATTTATTCACTTGACTCTGGTTCATTAATAGGATTCCTCAAGAATACACAGAATCACAGACTCCCTGCAGTGTGGAAGCAGGCTATGCGGTCCACCAAGTCCACCCCGACCCTCTGAAGAGCATCGCACCCAGATCCAGCCCCCTACCCTATCCCTGTAACCCCACATTTCCCATGGCACCTACCTACACATCCCTGGACACTATGTGCAATTTAGTATGGCCAATCCGCCTAGCCTGCACATTTTTGGACTGGTTTCTCTAAGTAAAATAGTTGAATGTGCATGAAGCCTATTTTAATGTTCAGTATCATTTACTGATTCGAAACATGCTGTGGATTTGAAGGGAATTGTGCCACTGTCTATTTTCACAGTTTATTAGCAATGGTTTGATTTGGATAGGTCAGACACGTTCTTTGAGTTTTCAAGTAATGCTGGCAAAATCTAACAGGATACTTGGCCTCTGTCCTTCTTCATGCCCAACCAATGGAATCTTATGGGTTCAAGTGTTAGGCATATTTTAAACAGAGTTCTTGCAACACAACTGATTACAGATGGAAGATGGTTGGGGTATGCCTCGTGGCACTTAAATTGATTGCATCTGAGATTGTCAGGACGGTGCAGATAAGGGTAAGAAAGTCATTTATTTCTCTCAGACAAAACAGGCATTTGCTCTGTGATCAATTGCACAGACGATTTCAAATTTTAAAATGCTCCCTTTGCTTGAAATAACTGCACAGAGGCTCGTAGTCATCCTTTATTTACATGTGCACACTGTAGCCAGCCAGCTCGGAGTCAGTTGCTATAGTGAGCAGATTCTGAATCTGTTGTTCATATTAGTCAGCCAGGGCTTCTTGCTTGGTCCAGGTTAACAGTCCCAATCAAGGATCTCATAGTCAATAAGATTCGCCTGTTTCCAATCATTACACTGCTACTGTAGCAACATTCCTGCCAAGGAATGTACCAGCATTGTTCAGCTGCAAATTCTGGAAATGATATCAGGTGGTAGATTCATAGAGATCTACAACATGGAAACAGGCCCTTCAGCCCATCGAGCCTGTGCTGGTCAAAACAAGCAGCTAACGATTTGAAACCCATTCTCTAGCACTTGTATGCTTTGGCACCGCAACTACACATTTAAGTACTTCTTAAATGTTCTGAAGGTTTCTGCCCGTACCACCCTTGTAGGCAGTAAGTGCCAGTGATGCATACCCATCAATTTGTTCCTCAGTTAGCTTGTAGCCACCCATATTGGGCAGGTGTATTTCATATTCCTGCCATGTCTGACTGAGTGGGAAAGCTGGTACAGCAGGAGTGAGCTCTTACCTAGTCTCCTGGAGTTATGTCAGACAGTTGGACAACTACAATGGAAAGATCATGCCTGATACTCGTCCAAAACATGGCTGCTCAATAAGAGCAAATCATGTTTACATAGCACCTTTCACATTTCAGGATTGCTGAAAGCTCTGCATTGACCCCAAGTACTTTTGAAGTGAAGTCTGTTTGCAATGTAGGAAATGTGAGATGGAAGTGAAGACTGGAAGTAATGGAATGATAAAGTTATAGGTGATTTGATTTGAGGCTTTATAAGCTAAAACATGGACTGATCATTCATAACAGGGTAGGATAGCAATTAAAGACTGAGGAGGAAGAAGTCTCTTAACTTGGACAGTGCTTCAGAGATCAGAAACCACAAACTTAAAAGGAATGAAAAAATATGATGCCTATGTCATTGAATCTGCTCTAGAGGTTAGTTTGGGTATCAATATTCAGAGTATGAGAAAGTTGTTTTCATTCCCAGTTGTTAACCTCCCAAAGGAAACCCACACAAGCTACAGGCAATACGAGTCAAGGCGAATATTTGGGATTCTGCAGCAGCAGTCTGGAAGCCCCAAAGACGTGTCTTGGCATGAAGCAGACTGGAAAAGTAGTGTATAATTATCAAAATTGTATTGGGTCACTATTTTCAAGCCAGGATCATTAAACAGACCATGCACTAGTCTACTTGTGAAAAAAGATAACATTCTTCATTTCCTTCAGAAATGAACGGCATGAGGGAGTAGTCTCCATCAGTTTAATATACAGTCAGGGCCACAGTAACATTTGATTTAACAGCTCTGCCAGGAATAATTCTAAATAAAGGCACTTTAACTGCCAGAGGGTTTGTGCAGGCAAGAGGAGAAGATTGGTGCAAAGTAAACAAGATGGCCTAGATTTTATGCCTGGGGTATTGTAGTTCTTAGGCCTCAGTGTGCCACTGGTCTGCTGTGAGCAGCTGGGCAGCCAGGAGCTACCCAGTTTGTATTCTCCTACCTAGTAACAGAGCAAATTTTGTTCCAGGACAGGTATTTGGTGGGTTGGGGGTTTCTGGAGCAGCTTGTGGGAGACAAGAGGAAGGAGAGCCTCTAAATGGATGGCTGTAGCCATTCCTGTGATGTCTGGAGGGTAAAACTTATATCGGGGGCCTCTTTTTGCCCCTCGCAATTCCCCTACTTACAATGCTAACCTGCTTCAGAATGTCCAGGAAGTCATGGATAGTTAAGATTCAAGCTGAAATTCGTTGCCATCCCACTGATGGAACAAGAACTCAGAAGAAAATAAATTTGAGGCTCCTTCCTCCTTCGGGTGGGAATGCCATCCATCCCATTTTGATAAATAGTTGCAAAGGTGACCAGCAGAAGTCAAGCTGTAAGAAAGGCTAAATGCTTTATTTCAAAGACCTCACCCCATTCTCTGACTTCATTATCCCTGTGAGTGGGTTAGGATTAAATTTTCCCCAAGGTTTAGCAATTCTTGTGAATGTTGGGATCTGCATTAACAAGAAAAAGGGATTAAAACATTAAGTAAATTTTAAGGTTGTCTTATATGTAACACACCTTGGTGCCTTATCAATAACAAGATATTCCAAACAGTCACATAGCAATTCATTGAGCAATGGTTGTATTACACCTTTCAGATGTATCAATTCAATTTTAGTGTCATCTGTTTATTCTTGAGTTCCTTTCCTAGTGAATCTTAAGCTGTGTAATCATCACAGGTTCAGGAAGTGGA